TGAAAACATGCATGTCCTCATACAGTAGACTTATAAATCGTAGTTTGTCAGAAAACCCAACCAAACAGAAAAGGCCAGTGGGATGAAGTGATACTGTATATGCTTCCTCCCGATATTCCTTATACAGCTCCAAAGTGCTGAAAAAGAAAACCATTGCACAGTATAGAACAGTACAAACTCCCTGTGCATGCCTGACAGGACAACATCTGGCCTGGCAGGGACACCTGCAGCTACAATCTGACTCTGCCGTGTCCTTGAGGAAATGCGTTGTCATTCAATTAAGCAATGATCACACAGATGTTACAGGAAACAAAGGCAAATCTGAACTTTCTGGTTCACAGAGACAGTGTGGAAGGTACAAGAGCAAATCCCTGTTTACTGCAATGCAATGAAGAAGGTAAATGAACGGCCTGCAAACCTACACAAACATCTCTTCTGAGATTTGCTTTTCTCCCCCTCTCCCTCCATAGAACCTTAAAAGCTGGAGTAATTTTGCTTAAGAACTATGGCTATGAGGCAGGAGATGGGACAACAGTATCTTAAGACAAAGCTGAACAAAACATTCCTGAAGGTTTTTTTTTCCAAAACATATGAGAAGTCTGACACAAAAATGGCGTAATAGAAATTACAACATAAAAAAGCATTCTTTTGGCTCTGGTATTAAAGGCACTGCTTATTCACACTCCCCAAATCATGTCAGTAAGACCATTTGCATCCCACGCCACACAAGAATTTTACCAGAACACTCTCATTCGTATGAGATTGCTGCTGTTGCCTGCTAAATACAATATACAACAAAGCAAGAGGTAATAATGAACACAAACAAATCTTTACTTTGTCTTGTAATTCCAGATGCGGACTGATCTATCCAGGGAACAGGTAGCAAGAATGGACTTCCAAATACAGGTGTCCAGACCAGTGATTGAAGCAGAATGCAATGGGAAATTCAGATATACAAAATAAGCTGTCTTCTCCTGAGAAGCAGTGAGAACATAAAAAAATTACAAATATTTCACTGCAGGCAGTAAGTCAGGTAAGAAATCTATCATAGCTCTTTGCATACAGCAATCAAACAGATTTGAGGAAACCACTTGATCCTTTCACTGCACCAGTCTGAACAGAACAATGTTAAAAACAGAACAATGTTAAAAACTTAACAATATCAGAATCAGTTTTAACTTTACAATTAGTAATCCAGAAAAGTGATGCAGGGAATATGTAGGCTCCATAGTTCTCATACACCAGTGAGAACAGAACATAAATGTAGGTGTCCAAAGAAATGCAAATTAGATAAATAAAACTGGACCTGCAAGAATTCAGTTAAGATCTTCTGGTCAGACAGATATTTAAAAATATTCAAGTGCCGAGTGATAAGCAACTTAACCAGGATGCTTATTTATTACATGCTAGAAGTGAAGCACCAATAAAATTTTAGGCTGTATGCAGAAAAAGGGCCCATAACTACAAAACCCCTTCCTGTAAAAATCTTTCTGTATGCCTGTACACGGGTTAGGTATTTAACTCCATGCAAGTCTATTTCATAATAATACATTTATCTCTTGTCTTTTTATTATTTAATTCCTTCAGAGCAGGGAATGTTTTTCATTGTGTTTGTCCTTCACAAAGGGGTTTCACTTCTAACTAGGACTTCAACAGCTATTACTTTAGAGTAACATGAGATTCCCATAACTGTTTCAGTTTTATCGTTGCATTAAAGTTTCCGCATATTACAGTGGAGCATAAACTACTACAGTTATATTAAAAATCTCTCCGTTAAAGCCTTACTTAAGTGGTTCAACAGTGACATGCGTCCTTAAATGGTCTTAACAGTGTCCTCTATCATTCCGCTGAATAACATCAGGTACTCATATGGAGGGATGCTTGAGCAAGGGGCTACTGAAATACAGCTCTCAGAGAAGCATGCAGAGCAGTTCATATAATGAGCTTTAAGGGTTCAGACACTATCTGATGGATTTTATGACAATGCATGATAGAAAGTGACACTGAATAGCTTGTGCCATTACAATACACCCCTTACTGGACATGATGGCTGTGGAATGTGATAAAATTGCACTCACCTTTATAAGACCAGTGGAGGGCATGGTAAACATGTAAAGCTGATTTTTATTTGTGTTAACTACCATCGTTTCCTCAGAGGGGCTGAAGCATATACATATAATGTCCTGCCTGACCGACTGTTTTGGCTCACTGCTGAACAGGTCCCGGGGAAGCTGCACGAGAAATGCATCCCATGGGATATTCCAGGTCTCCATGTTTTATTAGTAGGCATACACACACAGACACAAACTTTTGCTGTAATGCTATTCTAATAAGCATATACATAATACCAGTAAGACAACTTGGATATTTAATAGTACATAACTGCTGCAAGGCGAGGAATAGGGGACAAGATAACCTCACTGCATCTATAGCATTACAGCTGACAAAAGTATCAGAGGACATTTCAGCCGTAATCTTAAGTACTGCGTTAAACAAATGGTAGCAGAAAAACATTGAAAAAAACCCTATCAAGTGTCAGAATGAAAACTACCTGAAAATTGTGGTCTTGGAATAACAGTTCTTTGCAGTGTATCGTTCAGGTTGATAGCAGTCTTACTACAGGGTCTTGTGCATAGGGAAGATCTGACCTTTCAGGCCCAGAGTATGAAGGCTTGACCAGGTCATCAGAATTAAACGTTCTTATTCAGAGACTGCATTAAGTCAATGTGTACAGCTTGCTATAGAACAGTTAGAAATCTTACTAGATTACTTAAGAGTAAGAGCTAACAAGGCTCATGACAGCTATAATAAATATCTGAAGGGAGAAAAGCTTTGCCTTGGAAAAAACCAAGCAGCCTAATTCTTTAAAACTGATGTAGGCTACTTCTTAGGTCCAAAAGTCTCCATAAATACAAATTTCTTAAAGGTTTCATGAAGTTTAGCAGCCTCAAAGCACATTTTACACGTGGCAACATGCAGAGATACCTTGCAAAAGGACATCAGTCACTGACTTTCAGTGTGACCTCTGGCAACTCACTCCCTTCCTTTTGACATCACTAGGACAGTTAGCTAATGCTTACAATGTAATTTAGAAATGTGCTAATTATTCTTAATAACTGACTCGGAAGCACACCCACCCCCCCAGCCCCCCAAACAGGCCTCTGCTGCATAATTGCTTGGAAAAGCTTTTTTCTCCCTACCCAGATTTCTTGACTCTCTTTGTAGACTTCTTTTTCCTTGGTCTTCTCAAACAGAAGAACAACTCCTGGGCTAGGTGAACAAGCAAAGCCTTTGGAATAAGCTGCAACTGCAGATATTTGAGGCAAGGAATCCTGTTGTGAACCATTATCTTCAGAGGCCAGTCCACAAGAGACATCAGAAGAACTGCAAGCAGGAAATGCATAGATACTTAAGAATAAAGAAGGACAAAATAAAGAAAATGTTTATCAACAGCAATCAAAATATTATAACCCACTCATAAACTGGACAAGTAGGAAATAAGTGCATGGCTTGCAACTAATCTGCATGCACAAGCATGAAACTATTAGTACTTAACAAGTATTTACCTCTCATATTCTTTTGTTGTGGCATCTTCTTCTAGCTCCCTGGGTGTTTTTCTGTACTCTACACTTGTCTCCCAGCGCAGCTGGCCAGTTTCAAACAAGATAAGTTTGCCTGAGTCAGTGCCACATATAACTTCCTCCTCAGACAGCCAGGCATGGCACAAGTAGTTTTGCGGTTCTCCCTTTTGTAAATTCATCTGCTTCAAAGATCCTTCACTGAATTTAAAAAGTTTAAAAAAGCCATTTCCAGTGATACAAACCTGTGCATTGTCTTGAGGGTTAAAGCTCACCTATGGAACAAAACAAAGAGAAATTACTTTACACAACTATGTTCAGAAATAAGCAGATATTATACCTGTTCTGAAGACTTTCAATACCCGGTACAGGAAAACAAACAAGGGAAGAAGGTTCATAGAAACATATAGGAATACGGAAAAGCCTAAGAAATAACTGTCATAACTACATATTGCAGTTTTCCTCCTTTTGAAACTGTTATATCAATTTTACGTAATGCTACAAGTAAGATGCTATCTGAATCACAAAGCAATATCGAAGAGAAAGTTATCTCCGCCCTTCAGGATTAAATGACAAAAGAAAGGCCCAAATACATCTTTACTGCTGAGTAGCAAGTTTTTCAGGTAGCAAGCTTCCTGAAAAGTGAGACCATTCATTCTTAAAGGCCAGGAATAGATTCTGTATTTCTGTATTTCAGGCAAACCTTGCCCATTATGCATATTAATTCACATAATTAGGTGTTTATTGGTGAAAACAGTGGAATAGCCATCTCAATACCCAACGTGAAGGATAGCAGGGGTAGTTAGATGTACTTATTCATGGTTAATGGAACTTTAACAGCAGTTGACTTCACAGTCATTCTCCTCTTTAGGAATTGAGCCCATGAAGTCAGTAGTTCACTCAACCTCTGCTTGTAGCTGTACTCCAGAAAAAATGGCAGCCAGGGTCCAACCAACCCATGAACTGAAAGCCTCTTACCTCCCTGCAAGAAAGATACTAAAAAAGGGCACCCCAAGCAGGATGCAGGAATTGTTTGAGTGCCATCAGCCTGCTCCTAGCCATTCTCCCTGGGCTACTCCTCTGATTCGCACATAGAACGGACTGCGGGAAGGAAAAGGCGCATGAGCATGTTGAGAGCTTCCATGATGTGTGTTATGCCTACTGCGCTCACGAGTGTTTCTGCAGGGACACAAGGGACACATTGCACATGCACTGGCCAACTGAATGGGCCACATACCATAGATCTCATATGATGTAAGAGAATCTCACGTGATATGGAGATGAGAATGTCCATAATGGGTCAGAGTAAAAATACATGCCACTCAGTGTCCTATTGCAGCTGATGCCAAGAAAGACCACAGAAACTGCATATAATCTACAGCATAGAGCCCTCTCGTCCCGCTCTTGCCCTGGATAGAAGCCATGTGGCCACAGGAAAACGTACGCGTCCACATATCCTGCAGATGAACTTAGGTGCTACTTGGCACCCAGTACTTGTCAAACTATTTCTGATCCTTTTACCCTTCTCTTTGAAGTAGTGCAATAGGGTCCCAAAGACCCAGTCATTTGTAAATCAAAATGTTGAAAATGAGCCGCAGAGACCCTGGCCCAGCTCAGTTCTGGGAGCAGGCGCGTGCACCCCCGTACCCTGGCAAGGCCGGGGGGACCTGAAAGGGCCTGAGGCTGGCACGGAGCCCGGGAGGCCGCGGCCGTTACCTGGCGGATGCCGCTGCC